AAAAATAAAATAATTATTGTTTCCTTAAAAACATATAATCTATACAATATTATAGAGCATTTGACAAAAACTTTTAAAATCTCATATTTATGCGTAAATTATTGTTTATTAATACATATTACTTAAAACTCATGATTGCAAGTAGATTGTGCGTAACTACAATTTATTAAAGCACTATATCTGAATTCGTGTAACTAACTGCAAATAAATATAAACAAATATAAGATATACATCTTATTTTAAATATAAAACATCTAAAATATAATTAAGATAATCATTGAGTTCTAACAAAGTACTTAATTATTATCTTTATAAAATATTATATTATTAAACCAAAAATAAATTATTTCGTTATTAAACATAAATTAAATTATAATTTAAAAATAAAGTAAAGAAATTACATAAAAAATAAGAATTTTTAAACAGTGGATTTGATATTAACATTTATTATAAAGCATTTAACAAAAACGCTTAATTTTTTTTATGCATTAACTACTGTGTATTGATGCATATTACTTAAAAACAAGATTCCAAGTAAATTATGCATAAATACAAATTATTATAGCTCCATATTTGAATCGTGTAACTAACTGCGGATAAACATAATAAAAAAGATGATAAACATCTCATTTTAAAATATAAAAAATCTAAAATATAATTAGAATAATTATCGAGTTCTTACAAAATAATTAATTATTATCTTTATAAAATTATATTATCTATACTATACTATAAAGCATTTGACAAAAACTTTTAAAAACCACCTTTTAAGCGTAAAGTACTGTTTAATTATGCATATTACTTAAAACTAAAGATTGCAAATAGATTGTACGTAAATACAACTTATTAAAGCTCCATATCTGGATTTGTGTAACTAATTGTAGATAAACATAATCAAATAAAAGATAAACATCTCATTTGAAATATAAAAAATCTAAAATATAATTAGAATAATTATTGAGTTATAACAGAATACTTAATTATAATCTTTATAAAATTTATATTATTAAACCAAAAATAAATTATTTCAT